AGTATGAGTGAGGTTAGCTTAAATAAGGTCTGACTTAGTGGCTGAAAAGAATAATACAGTTTTACATTACAACTACTTACACAACCTGGGAATCTGTTCTCTGACCTTTAGTTATTTGGATTTCTTTTTAGTTTATTTTTTATTTAAAGTGAGAATTAATTATTTTACAATATGTTTGGTAGCAGTTGCATCATCCTTCATGTAACCATAACTGATTTTAAAAAATTCAGGTAGATATTATTTGTATTGCGGTAGCATATAGGAGCCCTACTCATTAATTACTGACCCACTGTGCTACTCTCTATACAAACACGGAACAAAAAGACAGTCCTTACACAAAAGAGTTTATAACCTATCATTTTATTCTAAATGCAAATGTAAACACTGACAGATTGTTTCAACCAGGGAGAAACTGCAGAGTGTCATGTAACATTCCGGAAGCCTTTTCAAACAGTATGGATCCACTCCGTCTATACACACCAAAACTATGCCTACCTGCATTTCCAGAATTCAGTACATTCACTCATCAAGATGTTCTGGATATCCTAAAGGAGTCTCAACCCACTTGTGACTCCGACCCATAACTTTCCTGGCTTGTGAAAGAGAGTTATGAACAACTAGTGCCACTATTCTATATACGTTTTTATACTGCACTCATCACATATTTGAGCACCTTTCAGCAGTACATTAAGCAACATGACTACACGTCTGTCACAGGCTTGTTCTCTCATCCTCTCCCCAAAGGGAGACACGTATGCTGTTGAGTGTTTTGGTTTGATAGGGGATTTTTAACTTATTATTAGTTAAATATACCTGTTGGTCGGTGTTTATATTAGAGACGGCCAGGTCAAAGAAATGTGCCTTGCACTTGAAGTGGAAAGTGGTGAGATTTGTGGTACAGTTCTCAGGGGAGTTCATCCTTCAGTCCCATTTCCTCTCCCACACTGAGCTTTACTCTTATTGTTGAGAGTTCCATTGTGCCAGAGGAGTAAAGTTATCGATCATGGTCTTTGTTTTGGAACTTTAGATGATCTTTTAGATATCCTGGGCCCAGGTCAGACAGAGCTTTGAAGATAAGGACCAAGACCCTTGAACTTGATTCAAAATTCTATGGAAAGCCAGTGTAGAGAGTGGAGGGAAGGTATGATGTACTCATGGTAGTATGTATTGCTAAGGAGATGTACTGCAGTATTTCTTACTAGTTTGAGTTTCTTAAATGCTGACAGTTTCATGCCTTGGTATATCACATTGCTGTTGCCCAGCCAAGATGAAGGCAAGAATAACTGAAGCCAGGTCTTCATCCACCAGAAAGGGATGGAGACTTCTAGTCAACAGGAGATGGCAGAAAGCATTACTCACAGCCACTAGTAACCAAAATAACCAATGCCTCAGTCAGAGAAGGAATCTTCCCTACTTCTATCAAATGTGCAACAGTATGACCAACACTGAAGAAACCCACCCTAAACTCTTCCATTCTAGCCAACTGTTGCCCATTGTCAAACCTCCCATTCCCTAGCAAGCTGACAGAGACGATAGCAAAAGGCCAACTACAAGCTCATCTAACTGAAGTTAACATTCTAGCCCCAACAGTATCTGAATTTAAGCCAGAACAAAGAACCAAAACTGCTGTAGTGGCACTGTTGGGTGATTTCTTCCTGTCAATGGAGGAGAGGGCAGACATCCATTCTTACCCTTCTTGACCTCTCTGCAGAATTTGACACTGTTGACCATGAGAGTCTGCTGATTCACAGGCGAGAGATATCAGGAGTCCAGCATAATGCACTAAAATGGTTTGAATCCTTCCTGAAGGGATGCACCCAATGAGTAGAGATGGAAAAGTGCACCTCCATCATCAAACCTCACTTGTGGAGTTCCACAAGGATCAACTCTCTCTTCAGTCCTTTTCAACATCTACCTGCAATCACTAACTTAACTGGTCAGAAAACATGGATTCAGGTGCCAGCAATATGCAGATGACACACAGTTCTGCCTATCGTTCACTGCATATGACCACTTCACTACCACCAACATAGTCCAGTGCTTGGATAAGATCAGCTCATGGATGAAGAACAGCTGCTGAAGCTGGACTCGAGCAAAACAGAGTTGATGCTGGTGGGCAGAGGAAAATATTCTGAATAGCTGTGTAGTCTCCATTGCCTGAAGATACACACCCACAATTCTTCATTTCAGTCCAGAGTGTAGAAGGGAAGTTGGATTGTTTACTGATGCTACGCTCTCACATTGAAAGCACTACTCGTGGATGCTGCTACCAGCTTGGCTAGGAAACTTCATCTGTTCCTGGTGGACAAAGACCTGGATTCAGTTATTCATATCTTTGTCCCCTCTCAGCTGGACTACAGCAGTGCAATATATCTGGGCATGAAGCCTTCAGCACTTAGAAAACTCAAACTACTACAGAACATGCAGCATGTCTCCCCAGTTAGCACAGGTTACTGTGAGCACATCAGATCTGTCCTCTACTCTCTACAGTGACTTCCCATAGAATTTTTAATGAAGTTCAAGATCTCAGTCCTTATCTTCTAAGTGCTCCATGGCCTGGGCCAGGATATCTAAACGATCATCTCAAGCTCCGGGGTGAACACTGTTGTCAATAATTGTGCTCCTCTGGTGCAATGGAACTCTCAACAATAAGAGTAAAGCTCCTCTATGTGGGAGACAGAACTTTCTCCAGGGGTGGTCCTAGACTATGGAATAAATTCCTCCAAGAACTAAAGACCTTTACAAACCTCATCACTTACCACTCCAAGTGCAAGGCACATTTCTGGTCTTCTCTAATATAAACACAAAGCAACAGGTTTGCATATAATACAAACCAAAACAAAACCACATACTACCAAACTAAGACTCTCCACTGCCACATGCTTTGCCCTCTAGGGAGAGGATGAGAGAAAAAACAACACATAACAGATACATAGTCATGCTGCTTAATTCAGTACTGGAAGGCACTCTAGTACTGCGGCACGGTATTAGAATAGAATAGAGACTTATTGTGATTCTCCGTACCAATAGCGCAAATTCACACTATAGGAGATAGAAGATTAGCATTTTGGGGTCCAAAAATCAAATTCTCCTCTTAAAGAGAGCTAAGTAATTTTTCATCAAGACTACAGATTAAATGATTTTTCTGCACCAGATTTCTTGTTATCAAAAGGGCCATATGAATTTATAGTGGTAGAGTGGCATAGCTCAGTATATGCTTCTGACACTGTGTAATGGAACCATCACACTCCCTTGAGGGTTGGGGGGGTCACAGCCCACTTAAGTCAGGTGCAGAAAAAGAAGAAAAAACATTCCCGACTCAATACAGGAAAATAAGTCTGCTTCCTTTGGTCACAGGTCCAAATACAACACAGATGCATAGCACCTTCCTTCCACCTAGTCCAACTGCTCACAAACCACACAGGGCTGTTTCTTTCAGCCAAGAATTCACTTTGGAAAAACAAAAAGTAGTTTTTACTGTGATTACAATCCCTGGGTCTCAGCACAGTCCTCCTTCGTTCAAGCCAGGCAGTTCCTCCTTTGCCCTAGCTGGACTTTGGCTCAGAATCTGCTAGGCTAGGAGCAGCCCCGAGAGCAGCTCCTCTGCCTTCACAGCAGCACTTCTTTCACTCCCCACACCACTAGACGTATCTGATTCTTTTTTATGATTCCCCCCAGTCCAGAGAAACAGTTAGTTCCATCTCGCAACAGCTGAACTAGCCATAGCTACCAGCTCTGCTCTCCAGGTCTGGCTGCTCAAGCAACCTTTAAGAACACAGAACCCGTCACAGTGACTTCACCTGTTTACAGCAAATGAAGCAGGAAAATGTGCTTGCTAACTGCTTTAACCACCAAGTCTGAGGAAACATAGGGAATGTTCCACCAAAAGTGGAACAGACTGACTGACTGAAGATATTGGTCCTTTGTGTGCCAATTCAGTAGACACAAGTGTACTAACATCAGCTTAGTAGGCCAAACAATAAGACAATAAGATGAAACCTACTAGAAATCCAGGTGGAAAATGATTTCTTAACTATGCTCTCTAAAGGCCTGGGGAAAAGATCGGAGGGATGTTTTACAATGTTACCAATTAAGCACTGAGAGAAGGATTGTTTGTCCATCTTTTCTATCCCTCACAGGGTGACTGTGCCAGCACTCTAACACTTCATCTAACCTTTCAAGACAAATGAAAACTGATGGGCTGATCTGCATCTTTTCCTCAACAAGGAAGTGACTGAGCATCATAAGCAATGGGTAGAACAAGGACTAGCCATCACTGATAAGAAAAGGAGCTAGTAGTGGAGTAAAACAATGTCTTGATAGACATTTTTCTCCCCCATCCAGCTATAAAATATTGCAGCCAAAGCAAAATCTAAACCTACTAACACTTAGTTATCTTCAGATGAAGACAAAACTGCTTTGAGATTCAAATGTAACATTTTAAAAAAGAGAATCAATTGTCAGCAGTTGAAACTCACATTTTTAAACATTAAATCTTATAGAAAACGACAATGAAAAAATAGTTTCTGATCACTTGATCTAATGTAAACCTATGACTAAATTAGTAATAATATATTAAATGCTCTGAATATATAACATTTGAATATGAAATAACTCATCAAGAAGCAGCCATTTTCTTAGCTTCATTTTGTTTATTGAGACAGGAAGTCAAGAGCTATGTATAAAGATATGGGAAAGGGTAGAAATTTTCTGTTTTTAAAGTAGGTCTTGGGTTTTTTTCAGGGAGATATGTTATATGGATATAGATATGAACACTTCCTTCCACTTCCAAAAAAATCTGAATACATATTTTTTGTAACTATGTAAAGAAATATTAGAATCACTGAAGTTTTCTATTAAGAAATAAGGGGAAATATTTGGCAAACTGTAATATTCTGCTTTAAGGGGTGGGAGGGGGGAAAATGTTATATATATTTCTAGCCACCTACAAAAGTCTCAACAAACCATCATATTGCCATCAAGGAAGCTAAAATACTCACCTGTTCAATCTCTTTGGTTTTTGTTGCAATTGCTTTTGAGCGGCCAAGAAGCTGGTTGTCTTCATACAATTCTGTACTATCTGTTATATTTGTCTCTGTTTCTTCTGTCCGTTCAACATATAATGGAGCTGAGGACCCCGCCTTAAAAAAACATAAGTAATATTAACATTTTTGCTCTAGCTGCATTAAGTTCTATTTGATACAATTACTCAAATACCATTTCACTCTTTTTCAGAAATTTCTCAGTACAAAATTTTTACCACAGAAATCTGAAAATTACATTTATGGATATGACATCAACAAATAGTTAATTTATGAAAATTTTAGTGAAATTCAAAAATGCTCTGTGAATCAGTCCCTTGATCATGTTGGACATCCCTATCAGAGTCATTTACTTGCCCTTTGTCTGAGAAAGAAGTTGGAGAGATGATACTGATAATGACAGCAATGTCAAAACTAGAAATCAACAATGAGGGGTGTGGTGAATCTGCTACAGGCCACCAGGCAGGATTACAGGATTGAAAACTTCATGGAAGAACTCTTGTGGCATTCAAATGTACAGGATAAATATTGATGGGGGGATTTAACTACCTAGATATTTGTTGAGTAACAAATAAAAACGTGCACCAAGAGGATTCCTAAATTAATTAGAAGATGACTTATGAAAGTACTAACAATATGCATGGAGTTGTCCAAGATGGAAAATATAGATTGTTCATGACCCATGGAGTTTAGACGCCAACTAGAAAAAGCCATCTAAATTTACTCTGTACTGATAGGAAGGAAATGATTGAGAATGTGAAGATAATGATTGAGAATGTGAGGATAACAGGGAAGCTGAGAAATAATGACTACAAGGTACTTGAATGCACCATCATATAGAAATGGGTTCACAGAACAGTATCGTTAAAGGGTGATTAGATTTTATAAATGCAAAATTGATGAAGAAATCTAGTAAGGCTTGACAGAAGTACTGTCCATTGTAGGAGACGACTGGGGAATAATAAGACATCATAATTAAGAGGAAGAACACAAGAAAAAGAAACAGCTAGCATAGTCCTGAGGGCCTGTTTAAAACTCTTGAGACAATATAGATAATTAAAAAAGCACAGTAAATACTGTTACTGTATTAAATCTTGTAATGTTGTCTCCCATTCATTTGAAAGGGAGTTAAGCATGCTAAAAAAACGTTAATTCAAATAAAAATAGTTCAAGCAACATTAAGAAGCAGACCAAAAAAATCGATATTAGGAAAAATCTAAAGCAGCCGTTATGTTTATAGCTCATTTTGTTGAGCCCAGGTACTGCAGCACAAAATGTTAGCCAATATTTTGATAAGGGAACAAACACAGCCCTGGCTTGGAAAATTTCTTCAGTACCTCATAGTCAGAGAACTAAACTGATAAACCTTGGTGAAAAGTACCCATGCTGCGATACCTCCCCTCAAAGCCTCAGCCCAACCCCAACCCCCCTCAAATCTATTTAATTTACATTCCCACATTTTCATTTCCCAAACCAATAGATCAACTCTGTCTCCCGCAAAATTCTATCCTAAGTTAAACAAATTCCTGGCTCCGCCCCCCACACCCCGATTCTCTCTCTTTCTGCTTTACAGAGCTGATGCACAGAAAGGCCTTGGCTTCGCAGCAGTTCTCCAGTGTGCCACTCTGTTTCTTCTTCTCTCACTCTTCCCTCCCCTCCTCTTAGAAAAATGTCTGTCATTTTGTTTTCCTCTAAGAACAGCAGCTTCTGCTGGTCTGTTCCCTGCCTCCACTCTTGTTGAAAGAGTAGTAACACTTGGACCACTCTGCTGCTCCTTCCTGGAGGGGAACGATGGCTCATTTACATGACTCAACCCACTTGCCCAGTTAAAATTTTCAACCTCCCAAGGTGAACTGTACATATTGTACACTATGCAAATGCTCAGATACTATAGTGCTGGGCACAGCCTTAAACCCTAGACAGATGTAAACTTTGACTCAATCAGTTGAATTTTGGAGACATTATATTTGACTTATAGTATTGTACTATACTATTTCATGGATCATTATTAAAGGACATTTTATCTTCAGAATAAACAACGTTAGGAACAAGAAATTGCCATCCAGGCCAACGTGACCAGTAGCTCAGCATTAATTGGTTTATCTGGAGGCCTAGATTTATTTTGTGATAGGGGCATTATATTTGGTATGGGGGGGAAGGGCAAGGGGACTAGAAGAACTAGCATAAACAGGTGCACAGCAGGAAATAAGGCCTTCAGTCCCAAGACTGTTGGGGAGATGGGAGAGCAGAGGCAAAGGGACAGCACAGCTTGCAGCCCCAACATATTTCAATCTGCCAAATAGGCTTAGTTCTGGGGCTAGTAGGTATTGTGATGTAACTTCTCCTGCCCTGTATACATGCATACACACATAAGCACCCTCTTTACAATCTTTGTGAACATTGCTATTTCTCTAAAGTAGTATTAGGTAAGAGAGGCAGAACTGTGACATGTTTTGCTCCGTACTTCCTGGAGATGCACTGAGTTAGCTTCAGGATCTGCTAAGTCTTCCACATGGTCCAGTACAAAACATCCACAATTTTACAAACAATACACACACTTAATATAGTAATCATTTCTGCGTAAGAAGAAAGATTAAGTGCATCATAATAATGACAATAACTACAAGAGAAAAGGATTATTCCTTCAATCTAATTCTTTTTAATGCCAGAAGTATGAAAACCACAAGAAGAGTATTTCAAGAAACCATACACAGACTATTTTGTTATTTCCAAATTATTTACACATACATGTAACACACACATATACTAACCATGTATTTACACAGAAGGACTCATCTGAATTTAACATTCTGAGCAGAAGTTTCCTATGCAGGAAAGAACCAAATTATACGTAGGACTTTATATAAACAGTAAGTGTTACTTTATTTTTCTCTAAAATGACTAACTGTAGAATCTAATTCATTCATATTAATTACTGGAAAACCTACTACAAATTATCAAATTTTGTCTCTCAAAATTCCCTTGAATCATAGAAACATAGAAGATTAGGGTTGGACACCTCAGGAGGTCATCTAGTCCAATCCCCTGCTCAAAGCAGGACCAACACCAACTAAATCATCCCAGCCAGGGCTTTGTCAAACCGGGCCTTAAAAACCTCTAAGGATGGAGATTCCACCACCTCCCTAGGTAACCCATTCCAGTGCTTCACCACCCTCCTAGTGAAATAGTGTTTCCTAATATCCAACCTAGACCTCCCCCACTGCAACTTGAGACCATTGCTCCTTGTTCTGTCATCTGCCACCACTGAGAACAGTCTAGCTCCATCCTCTTTGGAACCCCCCTTCAGGTAGTTGAAGGCTGCTATCAAATCCCCCCCTCACTCTTCTCTTCTGCAGACTAAATAAGCCCAGTTCCCTCAGCCTCTCCTCGTAAGTCATGTGCCCCAGACCCCTAATCATTTTTGTTTCTTGCTCATTTAGGACCCAATCCTGCAAGGAGCTTAAATGAGAGAGCAGGGGTCCGCCAGCACAGGGCTTCCTGCAGGTTTGCAGTCTTTTAGTTCAATGTATCCATTTTCGTTCAATGTTAATTCATACTATGCTAACAAACTATGTGAATTTTTCAAAAATAATTAAATCTCAAACACAAGATCTCACTACAGCATCCTCCTATTAAATATTTGCTGAAAGGCGGAGCTCTACTATCAACTCTTTGCTGAATTGCATATTTCATAAATCATAAAGTGCAGATATGCAAAATGTTAAAGTTGAAATATTTTAAAATAAATATATGAGTGTATCAGTCTTACATCATATTCAGTAATTTCAGGTAAATTGCTTTCATCAGCCTTCTCTGATTTTTCAGCTGCCCATTTGCTTGCAGCCTCTGCAAGTTCCTTTTCAGACAGCCTGCTGCTTTTATCCAAGACCTGTACAAAAAAATGAATGTTACAGGTTAGATTTAATATAAAAATACCTTGAAAAGTTCAAAGAAGCAATTATTCAGAATCAGAAACAATATTTTCAAAATGGGAAATAAACCGTGGAAGTCATGTTTGTCTATTGGACGAAGAATTAGAAAAATCCCCAAACCAAGGAATATGCATTTTACTAAATTAAAAAAGGGGCAAACTTTTCAGACTTACTTTTATAAAGGTCAAGGGAAACTAGGCAAGGTTATGTAGCAGAGATAATGGAAAAGTGTTGATTTAAGACTTTGGAATTAAATTAAAGAGATAAAGAGATCAAAGGAAAGCGATGTATAAATATACAAAAAGGAGAAGTTAGAGCAAATGTAAGATTTGCTCTGTCTGGTTTGCAAGGATAAAAGGCTATAAACAAATCTAAATACAAATAAAGGATAAGTATTGTATACAATACACAAAGGAATCTAAGTTAGTTTGTCTTTTTCATCCACAGAAGTTGATTCAATAAAAGATACCATCTCATCCACCTTGCCTCTAAGTTAATTATAGCAATCAGGAGACTATTCTGTAAATTATTTAAGTTATCAGAAAACTGCCTTCATTAAGACCACTAATTTTTGAGGTGAAAATGCGGATAACGTAGAATACAAGATACCAATGTTTTGGGGTCTTTTTAATCTATCTTTTCAAATGGAAATGGTCACATCAATAGTGTTTTAGAAATGGTCTCCTACTAAGTGCATGACCTTGATTGTTTTGTTATTGTGAGTGGTATCCATTACAAACATCCATGTACACAGGAAACACCCAGTAAGGAACAGCTAGTTCCCCAGATCTTGCTTCAACCTGGTGTATATTTTATGTACATATTATTTACAGAAGTGTGTTCACCTAAGACTCTTGGGTGTATGTATAATTATATTTAAAAAAAAACTACACTACCAATTAAGACCAAAGTCCAAAAATGGTAAGAGTTTTCTAGATTCTCTGAAGTTTTGCCACTCGTCTCACTCTTACCAAAAAAACCCCAAAAAACCACAAACTGAAAACAAGTGTGCCTTACACCATGACTTGAAGGTCAATAAATTTAGAATCTGACGAAATGGTAGGCAAAGCAAATTCTACAATGAGGACCCACAATAAGACTACATCTCCAGACTCCTCATGATTACACCCACAGACTCAGTTCTCAACTCCATGGTATCACACAGAAATAGAATTGCTCTCTGAAGTAAAAAGGATCAAATCCCTGTTAGGCTTTACAAATTGAAGTTAACAGCTTTGGTTGAACTCAGAAAAGAACTGGAAACTACTGTGGATCATGGAGTACTGGTGCAGTGTTCTCTCTTTTGTATGTAATCTTTACAGAAGTCAGGAGGCATGGCAAAGAGAGAGGAGACTGAGGTGCATGGGAAGGGAGGTGATAGATCTCCTCCTCCTCCCCTAGCACACTAGCTCATAAAGTGAGCAGCCCAATCCATTTTTCCCAGCTGCTCAAAGCTTCCTGCACATACCCCAGGAGCAAATATCCAATCTTTCCAAGATGCTCGATTTTTCTATATTCTTTTTTTGTAGGAAAGAACACTTTCAACCTGACTCCTTCTCAGTCTCCAAAAACATCCTGTACCATAGCTCCATTACAATCTCCTCCCTTTCCTTGATTGAAGTCCTTGACAATATTTTAAAATAAAATTTTACCCTTGTATTTGTCAATGATAACCAGCTCTGCATGATATGAAGGTAAATTCAGATTCACACCATTTATATCATTTCAACAACCCACAAACAGGAATCTGTAGGATATCAATATCCATGGATTACAACAAAGAGAATATGGCTCAAAAATATGCAATTTAATTCTTATAAATCATAAGTAAGGCTACTATTATGTCACAAAGGTCACAGAAGTCACGGAATCTGTGATTTCCAGTGACCTCTGTGACACTGGGGGCCCCCCACAGCTGACCAGCCACCCTATAGTGTGAAAAAATGTTATCTGGCTGAATGTACTACTTAGGGTGTACGGAGCATGCTCACATGAACTGAGCATGCTCAGTAACATCCGCTGAAGCCAGCAGTGGGGGACCCCGACAGCAGCCCAGCCTCTGCGGGGGACCCCTGCAACTGACTGGCTACCAGTGCTGGTGGGGACCCCAGAGCTCCCCAGCTGCCACCACTGGCAGGGCCCCCCCTTGCAGCTGCTCAGCCGCCACAAGCTAGGGTTACCATATTTAAAAAATAAAAAAAGAGGACACTCCACGGGCCCTGGCCCCGCCCCTTTCCCACCCCCGACCCAACTCCGCCCCTTCCCCGCAGTCCCCGCCCTAACTCCCCCTCCTCCCTCCCAGCCACGCGAAAAGGGCTGCCCGAGCGCTACCGGCTTCACGGTTTGCCGGGCAGCCTCCAGACCCTGCACCCCCGGCCGGCGCTTCCCCAGCGCAGCTGGAGCCCGGGAGGGGAAGAGCCCAGCCTGGG